AGGAAGATAAGGTGCTGGGGTCCAGTTGACCGACTGGGCATGGCTGGTCACTCAGGAGGTTGACCATCAGCTTCTTAGCCAACGTGATTGAGCCAAGTACTTGCTGGAGTTCTTGGAGAAGCGACTTGCGAAGGCGCCGGCCCAAGATGCAGGAGTGAGAGCAGAAGAGCTTCTGCTACCGTTTGAGAGAAGCTCATCGGAAACTTCAACTTGCTCTTCAACGTGCCCGTGAAGCGCAGCGCAAGCTCCTAGTCAACCGGAGCCGGAAGCAGCACAAGTACCTCTGCAGCAAGACCCTAGCCGAGCACATCTCCAACGGTGAGAGATGAAGAGCCAGCGCGGCCTGGTGGAGAGGCTACCAGATGCAGAAGAATGCTTTGGCGAAGAGGTCGGCGAAGAAGAGTCAACGCCTGGTGGAGAAAGTGAAGAACCTCGTGGAGGCCTTCTGGACAAGAAAAAGACAAAGGCAAAGCCAACGATGGTTCATCGTCGGAAGGACTCCGAGCACAATGTCTGGGAGACCCCCAGGGCCTACCTTTCCTCGCTTGTGTCAAGTCTACTCTGTTCGCCTCGTTCTTGCAGACGCCTGGTTTAACACAGTGTTTGTGTTGGTGTTTCACCTCCTATATGACAGCAAATGTTTGCTTTGTTTAATCTTCAAAGGCAACAAGGCGAAAATGGGAGCCGTTTTCAGACTCAAGTGGCTTTGTTTGAAACACCTGGTTTTTACAGTGGTTTTGAGTACACCAGGGAACAAGCATTGCCAAATAGGAATACCTTTCCAAATCAGGACAACTTACATCTCAATAGAGTTTAAATATACTTTAACGCAGACAGAGTTCAGTTTGATTTTGAGCATAAGAAGTTAATTAAGAACAGCTTCCCAAATAAATCTTAAATTGGAATAGAGCTTGATCTGGAGAGAACTCACTTGGCCTTTGCAAACAAATATTAATAGTAACTCATTCCCAAATCTGACTTAGATTAAATGTGGCATGTAAAGAAACGCGCCGCTTTTCTTGGCTATATGGCCCAAGCGCGGCGGGCATTCCTTAGGAACCTTGGACCGCGTGGCTACGCGCATGGTGGGAAAGTCCGCAGGGCGCGGCACCTATTTCATCTTGAGGGACCGGCAGCTTGGGAATTGGTGGGCGACATGGAGATGGCCGACCTTCAGAAGGAGGACGAAGGTCTTCGCCCCGGCCTTCAAGCCGGACCTGGTGACGGAGCTGCCGGATGACTTCAAGGCTTTCTTCGTGAAGCTGCAGCGGAAAGCCGGTCAGACACTCCAGGAGTATCAGGCCGAGCTTGGCCGAGCGGAACGCAGGCTGCGAGCTGCTCACGCCGGAGAAGGTTAAGGCCTGGTGGTTTTTGCGGAGGAGTGGCGTCAGCAAGGAGCAGCGCCAGATGGTCATGACGCAGATCGGCACCGAGCGCCTCAACTTGGCTGCCGTTGAGCACGCCATGAACTTCATCATGGGCCAGGACTCCAAGGTGGGCTCCTCCCGCGACGGCCATGCCAACAAGCAGAAGCCGACCTACGACATTCTCCAAAGAAGGCGTGTGGCCTGAGCCCTACCGACTACACCGGGATCCACTGGCAAGAAGATGAAGATGATGGTTCTACCACCGGGTCGAAGCCTCGCGACCTCGTCAAAGGCTTCGCCCAGTAGGCGCCGTCCGAGTGGCCACCGGGCGGCGCTAGAGGCTTTTCCTCCGGGAAGTCCGGAAAGGGGCGTGGGAAATCCCCGAAGGGCGGCAAGAAGGGCGGGAAGAAGCAAGCTGGTCACTATGCCCGCAAGTACCCTAGCAACTCGGACAAGAAGCGGAAGGAAGGTCGAGGACAACTCCGAGGCGACCGTGATGATAATAGAGGAACACTACGACCTGGCCGCGGAGGATGAGAAAGATGACACTGTCAGGACGGTGGAGCCGCTTTGGTTTTGGGAAGGTGTCACTACATCAGGAAGTACATGCATTAACTCTTGGAGAACGGCCGCCAGATCGAGGTCTTCAGACGCCATCAGATACGGCAACTCTGAGAAGGAGGTCACCAACCTGTGCGTGCTGCTGCCGATCACGTTGGGGGCAGGAAGCTCACCTGCATGAACAAGGGCGCCGATCCTCTTCGGCAGGCTTCATGAAAAACAGGGCCTCCAGCTGGACTACAGCGAGAAGAAGGTGAAGTGGCCCAGAAAGGGGCTGCAGCCCGGCGTGTGATGAGGAAAAGAAGGACGACCGGCAGGAGGACAGCCCCTCCAGCTCTCCGACAGCGAGCCAGGAGGCGATGGGAACGCCGGAGATGGAGATAGAAGTTCCTCACACCTCAACAAGGAAAAGCCAGATGAAGTGCTGATGGCCCCAACGCGCAAGCTCTGGTCAACACTCCAGGACTCTCTCTGGCGGCATCCTGGACGCCGAGAATAGCTGGAGGCGGCACGCAAGGAGAATCACAACACGAGCCTCATGATGCGTGCCGTAACCCAAGAGTGCCAGAGACGCGGGAGCAGTGGGGACCCGTCAGGAAAGCCACATGCTTCCTCACCACAAAGGTTTCACTCTATCTTGGCCTACAGCGAACATGCGCCGGTCAACATCAGCATGTTCGCATGTTCCCATTGAGGGCTACGTGCTTGTTGCGCAGCTGCGCTGAGCGCATCAACGCGGTGGAGGACGATGAGGCAGAGAAGGCGGAGCAAGGCGACGTGGTTCCGAAGGCGGTGGAAGACCTGGTGCCTGAAGCAGATGAGATCAAGCAGAAAAAGAAGCTTCGCAGCAAGGTCGGGCACAGAGCCTTCAACTACGTTGCCAGGCTGCACAAGAACCTCGAACATCCCTCGGCAGAGGTCCTGGCCAAGATGTTGGAGGAGGTTCAAGCGAAAGGCAATGTGATGAAAGCTGCTCAGGGCTACCTATGCCCAAAGTGCTATGCGAGACAGGCACCAAGTGGCACAGGACGAACGGCTGGTGTTACCGGCAAAAATTTCAACGCAAGGCTCCTCATCGACTCAGCCTGGGTCGACACAGATGATGGTCGCAGACGTAGTCACGGTGCTGGAGCAGGCGAGCCACAACTGGCTTGGGGCGGTTGAGCGGAAGCATCAGGTTGTCCGCAGGGCGCTGGAGCTCTTTAGAGGGCGGCCGCACTGAGACGAACCTCGTGAAGGCCGCAATCTGCGACCATCCGCAAGGCCTACACGCCAACTCAGTGGGTGATCACACTCGGGTTGCCAGCGCTCTCCTGCTCGATCGCCGCAACACGTGCGGGTCCTCTCCAGTTCGCCTTCAGGAGGTGACTGGCTCGTGAGACACGCCAGTGCCACACCAGTTGCCCAATCGCGGCCTCCTCCTGGTCCTCTTTGAGAAAGGCGATCTGGGCGTTGAGGCGTCTCTTTTGCACCTGTGCGAAGGTGCCCTGCTCATCATAGGATGCTGGGCTTACCACTCAGGGAGATCTGGGTCTGTGCTGACTTTCCCCTTGCCAAAGTGAGGCCAATGGTGGAGGAAAGTGGTCATGGTGGATGGAAGTCTGTGGCTGACGCGAGCAGAGACGAAGCGTCAAAGCGAAGTCTCGGAGCGTCGAGGCCAAGGTGGGAGCTGAAAGGTACTTCAGGAACACTGCGTGGAGCTTTGCGGAGCCCGGAGCGCACGGAACTGGCAGAGCGATCACTGCCAGATGGGCGCTGACCTGGAAGAAGATCGATGATGGGGGCGACACCAACCCCCGGTACAACGGTGGGCATTCCTTAGGAACCTTGGACCGCGTGGCTACGCGCATGGTGGAAAAGACCAGAGGGCGCGGCACCTATTTCATCTTGCGGGACTTCGTTCGCCCTTGAGTTCTTGTTGTGGCACATTGGTCTGGCGATTTGTTTGGCACGCGCAGGTCTCAGAGCTTCACTTTCCAGAGATTTTGTGCTTCCAGGGCTGTGCAGCTGCAAAAAACTTCTGATTCAGAATAGACTTATGGTGAATTGTGAATTGTGGTGACCTATGCAATATTCAATATTCAGCTTGAATTCGGAGCAAAATCTTATGTGGAAAGGAATCTATATTTGGACATGCTGGAGGACTCCCGGCTCCAAATTATGAGGCTTGGAGAATCCAACGTTAGACATTTCGAGGATTCAGATCTCCCAGATTCTAGGTTTCAGGTGTTTCAGAATGGACATGCCAAGGGCCATGGTCTTGCCACAGTGAAGTCGCCGCCCCACGGCCGGCATGGCGTCCGGGCTTGTCAAAGTCACGTGAACTGGCTCGGCGAGGGTCCAGGGCCTCCTGAACCTCTGGCTGAAGGTTGCCCTTGAACCCGAAGATGTCCTTCACAAAGTCCAGGATCCCCCGCTGCCACGCTCTCCGGCAAGGCGCCTCTTGAGCGGGCAGCCTGAGCCCGTGCGGCCCGCTACCAGCTTTGGGGCGAAACTGCTTTCCCCTCCAAAAGCGAAAGCCACGAAGCTCCGCTCCACGCGCACGATCTGTTCCTTCATGAGCCTCAGGTGTGATCACCTCGAGGTACTTCTCAAAAACATGCAGCTACTCCTTGTTTTCACAAGGCTTTGGGTTCCCTCAGTCGAAATGGCACGTCGGTGGCGAATTCAGCTCCACATGCGCAAACACTGACAGCAAAACCGTTGCAAACACACCGTATGTTTGCACTTTTTCGGCCGGCGTAACTTTCGCGTAGCGTTTAACAAAAACCCTCTCCCGCTCAGAGTATTGGCAAATTTCGCGGCTGGAGGAGTTTTGATACTGGGGGGTCCATTTGTAAAAAGAAAGAAGGAATTACCATTCACTGCCACTGACGCAGGTTGCCCACAACATCCTTTGCCACATGTTCAACTGTTATGTACAATCACCGCGGACGAGTTGGGACGCCAGTATAGTTGTCTTCTGTCAGATTTCGCAACACGCTTATTAACATCATGCTTGAAGAGGTTTTCTAGTTGATGGGGACTGGTGCCTTGCAACAGCTTTGCGTTGCAATAGAACGACACAGCTGCCTTGATCTTGAAAAGACTTCAAGGTGAAGTCGCCATGATTGCTCTCGGAAATGCTCCTGCCGCAAAAACAGCTCTTGCTTCAGCAGACCTCTTATCCCTCTCCTGAGGAGCAGTTCTCCGTGAGGATCTGGCTCGACTCCTGCAAATTCCACGTGCGCAACCCTGCCTATACTGAAGACAAAGTCTCATTAGTCAAACAGCGCTTGTGCCTGTCGTGTGTATGGCCACCTCCCTCTTGTTGACCGAGCGAACGTTGGCCAAAACTTTCTCGTGCTCGGTATGTCTGTAGGCACTGGCACTCGAGATGATGCAAATCTCATCGCAATTCCTTACCGAGAAGAGCAAGATGCACCTCAAGCCTCAGCCTTGGTCAAAAACCTTGGTGTGGAGTGCAAGGATGCTTGATGAACAACGCAAATCCAGCGGCAAAATGCCCGAGCAAAGCCTGGTATTTGACTCATGCAGGCTTGACACCTTGGAGGACTCTCAATGGATTGGCCCATTCCACAAAACCAGCCTCCTGCTTCAGCTTTGTCTCAAGCGGCATGTATGCAACCACATAGTGACTTGACTCCCTCAAACCCAAAGACTCAAGGGACATAATATAGCTTAATCTAATATGCAATCTGAGGCTCTTGAAGGCCAGTGCAAAACGCACAGCCTCAGGGTATGTCAGGGTGCCAGCACTGGGCACTGAAACACAAAGCCAGTGAGAACAGCCCATCATGACCATCCACTTGGAAACGTGTCAAGCAAATCTCAGGTCGTGGCAGAGAAAGAGAGAGAGAGAGAGACACAGAGATGAATCAAAGCTTAAACAAAGCGACAGGACCTGTTGCGACTGAGATTCCCACCGCGCTGGTGTTGTGGGGATCGCTGAACACAAAACCAGACCGGCTCTAGATTAAATTTGGTCACGGATGCGTTAGCCCCAGGCCTCGACGAGATTGCCATACTCCGTTGGTTCCAGCCTCAGCTAGGCATAAAACGTTAGCTGATGGTAGCTTCAAACAAAGGTCCTGCGCCGGAGGACAAACATAATACAGAAGTGTCTGCCGCAACTTTGGGCAACTGCTGGCCTGCTCAGTGCCGGAGGCAATTTCCGGTAGAGAACACGTCTGGACAAGAAGTCTTTCAGTCAATTGAGCACTTGCCAGGCGACTCACTAATCTTCCCATGTCGACTATGGGAGCGCTACCCCATCCACCGTAAAGCGCAGTCTAACACAATCCAGGGAAGCAATTAGTCAAAGCCAAGAAAAACGGAGCGACATGGCCACACCAAACCTCACAGGCGGCCTGGCGGCTGTACACTTCTAGGGGGTGAAACCCCGTGTGGCTTGCCATCCAAAATGACCCAAAGCCCAAACGCCTAATGCCAGGAAAACAAATCGCATCCCCAGATCACTGAGGCGCGAGCCGGTCTATCCAGTCCTCTGCCGCTTGCAATGCCTTCTCTGTTGGTGCCTGGGACATTCGCTGTTGGGTCGTTGCTCGCTCGAGGGATGGGTTGCCGCTGTGAAAATTCCCGCGCCGCGTTGCCATCATGTCCTGCGCCCAAAGCCGTGGCTCGCCACGGCGGAAGCGCACCAGTTGGAAGGAGGATTTGCAGCCCATGTGAGTGTGCAAGGCCCGCTTCACCGCCGCCTGGCGAAGCCGAACGGGAAAAAAAACACTACCCATGGCATCACAGGCAATTTGAAATATTTCCTGCCTTGACGTAGATCAAGTGTTCAGCCACGGCTCCTGACCTGGTATTTGAATTAATCCAAACCTTCCACGGTTCCCGCACGTAAGACCGTGAACATGGAATCATCGGATTCAATCGAACTGACTTCAAACTATTCAAACGAGCTTGGAACCGTTTGAATTCGACGAACTCACTGACTCACGCTGGCAAACTGGCGTGCGGGCGTATCGATGATCACTACAGGATGCCTTCCTGCAGCCATGGGCAAGGGCTGCTCGGCCTCGATCATGGAGCCCTCCACCTGCAAGAAAAACGCGAGACCTCGTTTCGGGCTCCTATCGCAACTCGCCTCTGCAAAGGCATGGTAGTTCAATGGCAGCATCACAGCAACCAGGTCGCTCTCTGCCATTCCCTGAGAATTGCAACCGGCTTTAAGAAGCGCGAAAGTCTGAAGCCGTCTTGGTTTCCCGACAAGTTGGTGAGCCATGGTCCAAAGAAATGCATGCTCATTTTCAGTTGCAGGCGATATTGCCAGAGTCAAGAAGTATCTGCAGCTGTAATTTGTGGGATGTGGCCTGCCTTTGCTAAAAGGGCCCGAAGTGCCCGCAGCGAGGCTGAGAGGACCTGCACAGCCAGTAAAGACCGAGCCTGTCAGGTTTCCTTGACCGCATCGAAAAATGTGTGTGTGTGAAAGAGGTAAAACATCCGACATGCTCGCAACCAGCTTGCTCTGAGTGAGCTCTTGCGTGGTTTGTCAGTCCTCCTGATGCTTCTGCAGCTCTTCAATCTGCACTTCCACCTGCACAGGAAGTGATCGTTTCACGTCGTTTATGGACGCTTGACGAGCCTTGCGCATGAACATGAAGAGCTCCGACTTGGGGATATTATAGTGCACCGGCCTGTCTCAGGCTCAAGCAAATCGCAATTGTCAAGTCTCGCCATGTCACACAATTCCAGTTGATCTCTTACGCATGCTGAACCGCACGTCACATGGGGAGTGCGTCTGAGTGGCATGGTAGCACTGGGATCCGACTTCAAAGCCGTCTGAGGCCGCATAAATACAGAGACGAAGGCTCCACAGGTCTGCCGAAATTTGGCACCCACATACTTCCCGATGGAGGCAACCTGACAGTCAAGCCTCGCACTTTCATGAGCTAAATAGTCTCGCCACTTGAATGGCGTTGGCGCCAGCTGAAGCACTGAGGGATCCGATCGCTTTGCTTTCAGACCGAATTTAGCACTGCGCGATCGATGATACCACCATGACTGGTACTCAGTGACTCAGTGAATTCTCCCTCAGGATGCGGCGTACTTGGGCTCTGTGATGAGATCTGGCTGAAAACGCGAGATGATGAAGTCCCGGAGCCTGACGAAGCGAAGCCTCGAAGCGATCCTGATCTGTCCAGTTCGAATCGTCAAACTGGGAACTCCCAATTTTGGGAACTGTTTCCCGATATGTCCAATGAGTCCAATGTCGAAATTTCTGCCAATGTCCAAAGTTTCAGGAAGCTCGGCTAGCCAGAGGCGAACTGCGCTTTCCATCGCCTGGGTGTGAGGTGCTCCACGAGCCAACTGTCATCGTAGGCGCCCAGCTGCACGGGGTCGCAAGGGTGATCCACCTCGTCTACGTCTTTTAAAGGAATGCATTTCAACACGTAGACGGGAAGTCTTTCGCACCAGGCCAAGAGGATGTGCCGACAAATTCAGCAGAAAACAGTCTGACTCAAGACGCTTTTGACTGGGCGCTATGTGGCGCTTTGACGCGCTTTGTACTTCGCCGGCGCCCTAACTTTGGACTGATTCGTCTCCCTCAGCCCGAGCGGTCAGACCCCTTCAGAAACTCTTCGCACTTCGAATTTGGACTGGTCAAATTCCCCTCTAGAAAGTGATCAAATTCCCTTTGAAAACCGCAGAAACCAGTCAAGAAACCGATCAAATCACCCCTAGAAACTGGACAACTTCCCATCTAGACCAGTCAAATCCCCTCTAAAGATCGGTCCATCTCCAGCCAAATCCCCGCTAGAAACAAGTCAAATTCCCCTTTGAAAGCCGGCCCAACACCAGTCGAATCCCCACAACACCAGTCAAATTCCCCTCCCGTCGGGAAACCTGTCAAACCCCTCTAAAATCTGGTCAAATCCCCCAGAAACCGGCAAAATTCCGGCAATCCTTGTGGCCCAAGCTCACTGCTATTCTGCAGCTCACTGCCGAGGCGGGCAACGCTTTTACAATTAGCAGCTCATTGGCTGCTGCTCAGCACAAGCCGGCGCTCCGTCTCATCATGCGCGGAATCATGCACCTGCCTGCATAGTCTCGTACGGCATTCTCTCCTCGGCCAGCAAGCAGCAGCTAAGGACAGGCAAGAAGATTTAATGCCCGGCATGCGCAACTTGCGCTGCACATGCTCAAACCCCAAGGCCCTGACCATCTCAAAGTCTTCTGTTGGCCCTGGTACCTGCCCGACGGGCCGCGGTGGGTAGTCCTGGCGATGACCATGATGCATGCGTTACACACTCTGCGTATGGTCTGTCGACAGTGTCTCCAAAAAACGGTGGAAAGGTTCGGCAACGTTCAACAGTTCAAGCATCAGGTTCTCGAGCTGGTTCCAGGTCCAAAGTAATTCAGCAACAGCGGGGTGAGCCATATCCTCCTCTGCTGGAGCCAGCGGGGCCTCGTCTTCTTCCTGGCTCAAAGCATCTGCACTATCAATTTACGCTTGATTTGAAGGCTGGCACGATGCCCTTGAGCCAAAGTGCCAGTTAACAAGCTCAGCTTTGCGTTGCGTGATTTCTTGAGCAGAATGAAATCACAGGCTCATCCTAATTCTGCATGCTGCAGGGTGGCAACCACAGTGGGAAGTACAGGTGGGAAGCATGCCGAATGTGTGGTCGTTCGGCTTGATTGGCAATTCTTGTCTGCGGGCAACATCTATTGTTGCGGTCATCTATGGGTCACACCTCGTCAGGCTCGGATTCGTCGTGAAACTCCGGCAGGGTGACGTGCGCGGTGACTGGCAAAATCCTGCAGTTCACATTAGGAAAACAGGACCAAACCAAAGCCAGCCTTTGGTCAGATCTTGCTCGTCAGTTCGATTCCGTGGCTGAACCCTCGGCAACTACAGTACAGCCAGCGTGTGACCAGGCCTGGGTTACAGTGCCGGCCATGTGTTCTTTTTGAAAGTTGCCTTCAATCCCATATGATCTTGCACAGTCAAAGTCTTCCTGCGCCAAATGCACTGACACTGAGTTGGACCTGCTGTTGCCCATTGACAAGCCTCTGTTCAGCTCAAGAACCTTCTCTCACATTTGCCTACATCACAAGTAAGTTGCCTTGCAGCTCCAACCCCTTGACTTGCACAAGGCCACCTCGAAAACTGAATCAATGAACTGTTTGTTGTCACTGGCCAGAGTCATGACCCGCTGCGCCTTGCGGCTGACTGCCCAAATTCGTCGTGCGGCGCTAGCCTGCAAACTCACAGCGCCTGCACCCTTAGCTTACTGTGCTATCATAGGTGCTGGGCTAGCATTCGGGACATTGCACACACCCCTGAACTGGAGTGGCTTGTCTGAACAAACATCGCGCAGGTCTTGCGAACCTACAAGATTCGTGCTCAGGTTTGTTCCAGCCACAAAGTCATTGCAGCCAACATATTCCTGCAGCTGCTGCTTCTTTCAGCAACTGGCACACACACACACACACGTGCTGGAACAACTCCTGATACCAGAGTGGCTCAGGCGGGCGTGGAAGAAAATATCTTGAACAGCTCCCAAGTATTTTTGGTTCTCCGCCACTCTCTCTCGAAATATGCTTCGTGACACGCAGCTTCAGCTGTAGCGCAAAGCGGGAAAATCTGGGCGCAGGGGCGTTGCGCAGGAGGTCAGGCCCAGAATTTGTTTTGGCCCAGAATTTTGCGAATTTCATCCTCGGAGTATCTGGGGCCTATTGTGCAGCTACAAGACAATCCGAAGGAGCCTTCCGTAGGATGTTGGCTGCCTAAGAAAAGACGTTGAAGGCTGTAAGAAAAGAGCGAAGCGTCGTCGAACCCAAAGGTTCATCAGCCTTACCAGGCTGAAACACGGAAATAGCGCGCAGAGCAACTTGAGTTTCAGACGTTGTCTAAAAAGGTGACAAGGGCAAGTGACGCGCTCTTTTCTTCGATCCACTTGGAGCCTGCGGTTCATGCACAGGTTTCCACGCATGCATCTCATGTGTGATTGGGAGTGACTGTGTCTCACCTGAATCTTGACACGCTGCCTTCACTCCCCTCGCACACAAGACAATGCGACAATTTGCGTCCCCTGCCATAATGTCCCCTGCCATAATGCTATCATTCCGGGCTCGTGTGATACACGGCGCCTGTCTTGCGCACCGTGACACTGCGCGGCATCTTTGGCCTTTGGCTCGGCTCAGCTCCACTGTCCTTGGGCTTTTTGGTGAGCTTGTTGAACTCATACTTCAGCCAGTTGACGCCACCCTTCACGAATCTGTAGAGCGTGGCTCTGACGAAACTCCAGATGCGCCGCAGGAACATTGCCTCGCTGCGCTGATTGCCTTCTGCCCTCTGACCTTGGAGTCCACCAAGTTGCCGTCCAGGTAGATCCGAAACGAACTCACGCTTTGCCTCGTGTTCTGATTCCCGACATAGTCCGTGTCCGTGATCACCTCAAGGATGTGCTGCTTTCTGTGCTCCACCTCATCTACGTCTCTCATATCCAGCACCGATCTGCCCACCTTGCAGTTGCTGATTTTCACTCCGTAGTCGATCGTGGTCGATGACCGTGGAGAAGATTATGTCTTCGTGGACTCAGGCAAGATGGTGGCCCACCGGAATGCACTGAAGAAGCTCGATGCAGAAGCAGAGGAGACAGAGATAGAGAGGCTGAAGCAGATTCCAGCGCTGGTGGAACTGGTGGGCTCAGAGACAAATGACTACGGACATCACCACGAAGATGGTCACTACGTGGAAGAACAGAGAGGAGAGAGGAGGCCGGTTTAGAAGAGCCAGACTGGTGGCACGTCAATTCAGATGGAGCGTCGAGGTGGAGAAATCCTTCGCCCCAACATCACTCATGGCAGTGCCGAAGATGCTGCTGCACATGGCAGCGTGTTGCCCAGGCCACTACCAGGTCATGACCATGGATGTCAAGGACGCCTTTCTGGTGGTGCCCCAGCCGGAAGAGGAGCAGTCATCAGTCACCTATGGGCGGAGATACAAGGTGCTTGCCAGGACAGAGAACAGCACCCAACCAGTCATACATCCATTTCAGGGATGCAGCCAGAGACTTTGGCGTGGAAGATGACGAGTATGGCAACGAGATGTTCATCAGCATCCATGTGGATGACTTGCTGGTGGTTTGCACTGAGGAGACTTTGAGCAGGTTCCTGGCACACGTGGGACGGCGTCATCATCAGCTTCGCAGTCACCATGTCCAAGGCATTGAACTGCTCCGGCAATCTTCTCACCGTCCTGCTCTCCACTGCTCCATTTGGCGTCAGTACCACGTTGCATTCTGTCCATGCCCAAACTCCTCTAGATAAAACAGGCTCGCCCTTGAACGATGTCATGCGCTGGCACATCACACTTTCTTCAAACAGGCAAACCTTGCCCCGGCACCTGCGATCAAAGATGATCTCGAACGACGTCTTCTTCTCCTTCTCCAGCCTGTTGATGAGCCAGGACGCATGCCTGAACGACCATGGGTACAAGTGCGAGCTGCCCAAGATCGACATCTTTGCTTGATCCTCTACGTAGTGCCTGATGCAGTTCGCCAGCTTTCTCACCGTCTGCACTGTCCCCTCTGCTTGGCCGTTTGAGGCGTGTTGGTTCACGCCGCTGACTCGAATCTCCGTCTGCAGTGCTGGATGGCTCTAAGAGTTTGCTGTGTTGACCTCTCTCCATCGCTCTGGTAAATGATGGGGTCACCGCCAGCCACCTGCGTTCCAAATCTCACCGACTCCACCATCAGCTTGAGGTTGATGCTGTCCTTGGCTAGCACAGGGACTGCTAGTACCGCCTTGCTACGCAGATCTGCCGCGTACAAGGTCGTCCCAAACTGCTCCTCGCTATCCTTCAGCTCCTCAGGGTCTCTTTCAACACCGTTGTCATCGACATACGTGTAGCCGAAGTCGAAGGAGATGATTCTTTGATCTCTCTTGCGTGCGTCCTCCTTTGCTTTCGTTGCCAGGCATGCTTGGCACCAGCTTGCGAAAGGCCAGTGGGTCAGGTTGTTCTCGTTCTGCTGTGCGACACTCGGCCTTGCTGGGATGCCAATGGATACTGGCTTCTCTCTGTAGAGCTTCTTAGCAATCTCAGTCTCCATCTGCGTTTCCAGATCCATACGAAACTGGTCCAGCCTCTTCAAAACTTGCTGCCTGAGGTTGCCAATCCATGCTGACTGCAAGCATTCTTGAGTTCCTTCATGGTGTTGTTCCTTTTAGTTTCTTCTCGTCCAATCTCCTCATCGCCTTCTGTTGCTGCTGCTTGTGCTGGAGCTTGTAAATACGATTCCCCCACTTCGTCCTTCAACCAAACACATCAGCATTGGTGGCTCGCTGTGTCGTGGGATAAGGTGCTATGGGCACCTCGGACTCCACCTCCAAGTAGTCCTTGATTCCTCCTGGCGCCACCGCTGCGATGGTTCTGTGCGGCTCATTTGTCTTGAGTAGGGTGACAGAGTACGCCGCCAAACCGTTCGGCAGCACATGCCATGCGGGAACATTCTCCAGTTTCTTCAGCCCTGCACTGATGTAGCCTTCTAAAGCGCACAAGGAAGTCCAACCTAGAGACTGTTCCTCCTCATCTCCAGTGGCACTTTCAGTCCTTGCGGATGCCACAGATGAACGTCATGTTATCCTCTCCTCACCTCCCAACCTTGCTGTAGGAGGTGCCCGCACATAGAATTGGGCGCTTGACCTGGCCGATCACACAGCGCTCCACGAAGTTCACCTTGACGCCTTCGTTGTCGGTCATGGCCTCCTCACTCCAGAATGGCCAATGACCTTGCCCTGCGCATCTCTCATCATGATCTTTCCGATCCCGTTGTCCTCCACGCCGATGCTGGCGTGGCTCTCAGGCAACACCGAGATGTCCGCACCTGAGCCCACCGTCATCAAAACGTTCCTCCTCTGGGCTTCGTCCTGACAACATTGAATGATGCACTCCTCATCAGCCTGCAGGTCCATGGCTACGATGTGGGCCTGAACCTCCGCATCAGTTTCAACCTCCGGCTCTACACGCTCATAGCAAATTTCCTTGGCTGCCACCATTAGCGCGCCGTACTGCTCGTCCTTCTCTTGGATCATCTGCAGGAAATCTTCTCCATCCGTCAGGTCGAAGATCTGGCTCACCGTCTCATCATCTCATCAGGTGGGGTTACCAACCTCACCATTCTCACATTCGTCGAGTGAACTGTCTGCTGACCACTTGGTGATCGTGGCCTCAGAGCGTTCAACCCGGTCCCTCAAATCCTCGTAGCTGGTGGAGTCGTCCACCAACATCTGCAGCTGGGTCCTAAGTTGGACAGGGCAAGCACCGAGGACTGACACCACCTTTAGGGGGGTGGACCTGGCCACTTATCCTCTCGTGCTCCATGATGAGAGCCTCATACGACGGCAGCTGCTCCGCGATGCTCCTGTTCATGTTGAAGCTCACCTTGGACAGCTGGGTCATGATTGCCAAAGCCATCTGCCTTGTGGCCGGCTGCATATCCTTCACCAGGATCCGCCATGCTTCATATCCACTCTCGTTGGGCTCGCGCTTGACCAGCCTGAGGGGCCTCCCCCTCATCAACAAAGCAAGCAGGCCAAAAAGCCTCAAGCTCCTCATCTGCCTGACTCATTGAGGTCCGACCAGGCAATGGGCTCATCTGTGTTCTCTGCGATCCTCTTCATGTCCGCGAACATCTCCGAACCACGGTTTTCACATAGTCTTTTATGGCAAAGCTCCAGTCTTGCCAAAGCTTCAACTTGCTCTCGCGGGTCTCTGGCTCGAATACCTCTGGGCACTTCACGCGCCTTCCCCATTGACTTCCTTGCTGGCTTTGAACAATCTCCGCCAGCGCATCTCTGATCGCCGCCAGCTCGTTTGCCATCTTGGCAAAGAGCTGCTTGTGAATCTGCTTGATGATCCCGCTGTGGATGTGGATCACCCTGATGGAATCCACCTTGAGGCGGAACTTCTCGACCTCAGCGGTCACCAGCCAGACCTGGCTAACTTGCGCCGGCCGTCGCTTCTCCTTCTCTTCTTCCAAGCACCGTCTCGAACTGAGGTCTCCTGAAACTTCCACCTGCTGCAGCCAGCACCTTGAAGCGCCGTCACCTGCAACCGCGCCCAGAAGCAGGGAGATCAGGATCCCGGGCGCTTTCTTCACCTGGCCGCTGCCTGGCTGAGGAGCCAGGACTTACAGCGGCTTCGCTACCATGACAAGCGCAAGTACGCGCTCTTTTCTTCGATCCACTTGGGGCCTTCGGTTCATGCACAGGCTTCCATGCGTGCATCTCATGTGTGATTGGGAGTGACTGTCTTTCACCTGGATCTTGACAAAAGCACAAACGCACATCAAGGAGTTCCCGAAGTATACCCTTGTCACAAAAAACGGAGGGGGACGTCTGGAAACGCAATTTACATCTTTTTGGGTAGCCCCGCACCAAAAAAATACGAGACAAGGGGCTCCACCCGCATGCGGTTGTTTCTCTTTTTTGGGAGTGCGGGGCTGTTGAACACATAAAACTTGAACCAGGGCAGATCGAAGTTGCAAAATGACAAGAAACGAATTCTTTACATTTCCAGGTGTCGGGCCAGAAACTGCAATGTCATTTCCGCACGTACCGCCCCTGAACTCCTGCAAGTGGGTCGGGGTCCGGAAAAAGCGCTCCTCGGCTTTTGCACCTTAGCTTTTGGCCGCTTCTGCGTAGTTCCAAGGTTGCAAGAGGAGCACAGGAACGCGTTATCATTCTCCTAAGACGACAACTAATCGCAGTATGTTAGTATGTTGAGCCCAAACCTGTTTTCCAAGCCTTCCCAAGCTGAAGCAAGAAAGTGGCGCGCAGCGCAACTTGATTTTCAGACGAACACACGTGAAAGAACGCGCGCAAACCGCACATCTTGTCTTATGGCTGCTCTTTGTGCAGCCCCAGCAAGTTGAAGGCTGCCACGGGGACGCGGGGAAAATAATGCCTTGCCCCCTGACCCAAAGCTGAACATTCTTTAAGAGCGATCAAACTTTTCTGCCACAAGCAGTTTTTTCTAGACCCTTTGTTCAAGCGTGTTTAGTCACTTATCAAGCCGTTTGTGCGGGTGTTCTTGGGTGTCTTTCGAGAAACGCCCCGGCTCAATGTCAGTGGATGTTTGTTCAGCGAAAAATGTTCCGACCAGACTTTGAGTGGATGCGTCTGTTGGCAGACGCGCGTTCAAGATTGAAGTGGGTGTGTCTTCTGAGACTTGCTCGATCAAGTTTGAAGTTTGCTTTCGACCAGAATTTGCTCCTTCATCTAGTTGTTTGTGCCTCTACGGCCACCAAGAATAAGTGTAGCTGTAGTGATACCGCCCCGCGCCATTTTCTTGTTTCAGCCTAGTAAGGCTCGTAAAGAGTGTCACGCGCAAATTTTAAAATGCAGCTTTTGGGGCTTAATTCGCCAGCACTGTGATTCATTGTCAGTTTGGGAGGAAAGGAATGTGTTTCCGACGCAGCAAAAACAGAGGTCGCAAGTCGATCTTTTCCCAGAAAACGAATGCCAGCACAACATGCCAGCGCAGCAGTTCTCTGCGCAACCACAAGTTTGAGCTTGCGCGGAATGGCGCAGCATCTTCGGGCGAAAAGATGGTTGCGCTTCATTTTGGAAAGGATGGGTCTTGGCACATGTTGGTCCCGTAGCAACCGCGCTTGCCTGGTTTTGCTTCGCAAACTCTACAGACACATGACACAGTCACTGGCAATCAAGTTCCGCCCGCGGTTTCCTTTTTGGAGCCCTGGTTTCGCTTGTGACTCAAGCAATGCCACGCCAACATGTACGAATTTCAGGAATGTTCCTTCATCTAGTTGTTTGCGCCTCTACGGCCCTTGTTCTTGGCAGCCGCAGCGACACCGCCCCGCGCCATTTTCTGGTTTCAGCCTAGTAAGGCTTGTAAAGAGTGTCATGCGCAAAATGTAAAACGCAACCTTTGGGGCTTAATCTGCCAGTACTGTGATTCGTCGTCAGTTTGGGAGGAAAGGAATGTGTTTTGAGCTCTTCTTGCAGCCCAAAAGACAAGATGTGCGGTTTGCGCACGTTCTTTCACGTGTGTTCGTCTGAAAATCAAGTTGCGCTGCGCGCCACTTTCTTGCTTCAGCTTGGGAAGGCTTGGAAAACAGGTTTGGGCTCAACATACTAACATACTGCGATTAGTTGTCGTCTTAGGAGAATGATAACGCGTTCCTGTGCTCCTCTTGCAACCTTGGAACTACGCAGAAGCGGCCAAAAGCTAAGGTGCAAAAGCCGAGGAGCGCTTTTTCCGGACCCCGACCCACTTGCAGGAGTTCAGGGGCGGTACGTGCGAAAATGACATTGCAATTTCTGGCCCGCACGTTCTTCGAGGGTGGGCAGTCTGCATCCCTGCAAGGCCGGCACACGCTGGTGGCACTGGAGCCACTTTGGGGCTGAAACATTGAAACTGACTTGGATGGGTACCTGAATCCCGAACTTCGCAAGTTCACACACTTCACTGGCAAGATCTAAGCGAGCGCCTAGTGCTTTGAGCGCGTGTGTGGACAGCAGAAACGGCGTAGACCCCGGCACAACTTCAATGAGCAACCAAAATCTCGTATGAGTGGCTGTTATCGGAATTTGTGATTGCCACGGCACTGGTGGTTAGAAAATTTCGGTTGAAAGGGTACCTGAGAGTTCCTCCAGGGTTTCCCTTTGCTTTGACGCCAGTCCTGGTCCTCAAGGTCTTCCTCGATGATGTGCGGCATCGTGCTGGTTGGTCGGTCATCAGGGTGGGGTTCTCCTTAGGTTTGTTGGGGCATTCTGCCTGCCAATGGCCACGTTCACCACAGATTTTGCAGTTGGTCCGTGCAATTCGGCTCAGAAGTGAATCCTTGCCAAAGCCCTTGCCGGACGGTTTGCCCTTCCCCCTGCCCTTGCAGCGACCGCCAGAAACCACGGTGCTTCTTCCTGGTAGCCGATCGGCGCGGACATCCTGGAACCACTCGAGGTCCTTCTCAAATCCCATCACCATCATGGCATCCTGGTCCCCTTGGGTGGCCATCTGTTCAACCATTTCTGGTTCCAGGTCGTCGTCCCGGCGGCGGTGAGGTAGGTCGGCATGTTGTTGGTCGGCTCCCACTCAGGTCCTCCTCCATCTCCTTCTGACTAGATCTTCTTGAAAAATTGACTTTGGGGTCCATCTTTCCCCCGATCTTCCTCTTGTCCTCGGACTGGAGAGAGCTTTGCCTGAGCAGGATGAAGGCCTTCATGGCGGCTACGGCCGCCCCCCCCAACTCGTGAAGGCGACTGGAGGTCGGTTCACATAGCTGCGGGTGCGGCTCCCTTGTCCCACGGGGCTAGGGCCTTCAAGAGCAATGGGATGCCTGCTGCAGAGCATCGCCAACCTCGGTGCCAGCATCGGCTTGTCCTTTTCGGGGCAGAAGCCATGCAAGAAGGCGACCTTGTCCTTATACTCTTGGGGATCATCAGTGGTTGGGTCGAAGGTTGGTAGAAGTTCCCCGGTTCCACCTCTGGTTCGCGGGGCCGTCCTCGGCCTCGCACTTCCTTTCACTCCTCCATAGCCATGGGCTCCCCGCCCTCTGCCAACCCTTGGGCCATGTTGGCATCACAGTGATGCAAAAGGCAATGCACGACGCTGACACGCACATGTGGCTCAATCAAGGGATACCTCATATTTGAGGGCACCGGTTTCACAGATAGACAAATCTTGGATAAACAGACAGACAAAAGATAAGATAAATAAGTATGCAGGTGTTTACAAATTCAAGAGACCCTCGCCTGAGAGGGTGGAAAACAAGAAAGCGCGGAGCGACTGCCGAAGATGTTTGGATTTTTGCGCTGGCCTAGCCGCACAGCACACGAATGTCGCATCCGCAAGGCTGAGACAGTCAGACAAATTGATAGATGAATGGCTCGATAGGTAGATAGATAGAAGGTAGATAGATAGAAGGTAGATAGATAGAAGGTAGATAGATAGAAGGTAGATAGATAGATAGATAGATAGATAGGCAAACAGATAGACAGATAGAGAGATAGATAGGTAGATAGAAAGATAGAGAGATACATAGATAGATAGATAGATAGATAGGTAGATAGATAGATAGATAGAGAGATACATAGATAGATACATAAATAAACAGATAGCTAGATAGATAGATAGAGAGATGCATAGATGGATAGAGAGATAAATAGAGACAGATTCATAGATAGATAGAGTAAGATTAAGTAGACCAGCACACTCCGCAGCCAGCCCCGGCATAGGAGGAGAAGGAAGTTGGAGGAAGGCTGAGATTTCCTGAGGCGTGGGGAAATGCAGTGTGTTTGTTGGTATTTCTTCTATTATATAAAGATTTAATGTATGTAATGCGCTCGAACCGCGAGGTAAGGTTCAGTTGTAAACTCACCGCGCCTTGTGGCTGGCTCCACAAATTGCTCACGCCGTGGCGCCAGCCTGAGCAAGATTAGCTCAAATATGGTGATTTTGCTCAATGATATACATCCTCCCTTGACACCGACATGACCTCGATGCAGTGACTGGGCAAACCTCGCGGGCACCCAAATGCAGCTCACCCTGCTTTCCCGCGTCGGCAAGGACAAGGGACTTTGCATTTGAACCCTCGAGGGGTCAAACATAGAGCGCTCATGGTGGCAGACACTTTGCGCCAGGAAAGATTCTCCTGCGCAACGGATAGTGGAGAGCCCGGGCGAGGGCATCCAGGCTCAAGTGCAAAAACAGCCTACCTTCAAAGAACCTGATCAACAGGCTTCATCCCAAAGTCATTAGGCCGATCCGGAAGGCACCCTGTTCGATGCAGTTGCACGCAAGCCGTATGCCAGCTCAAGAAACGTAATGAGCATGGCAAGATGAAGAACCCCAACGCAAGGTGCGAAGTTGGGCACCAAAGCAACCGTGGAATGGAACGAAACGATGGCGCCCAGGTTGAACTAGCTGCGGTCCTGGTGATTCCCCCACTTTCCAATCATCGTGCCTCGTAAGAAAATCGTTAATAGCAAAACAACTGTTTTACCTTTTATATAAACTTCTTCATACTTCACACGGGCAGCGGCGCGACCTCATGGCAAAGGGATTTGACCTCGGCACCTCGTCGCAGACTTCGCAAATTCCTTTCGCCGATGCGCCAGCGCACCCAAGAGAGAGGCCTCTACACCGGGGCCACGCGCGGCGCCAGAAGTCTAGGCTGTTCTTGTCCCCTCGGTGACAAGTCACACAAACAACGCGCGGTTGTAAAGCTGCGCTGTTGCTGACAACACCTTGCGAATTGATGTTTGGCTCTAAGTCACACTGAACACGCACGCGATCATGTCCGTGCCTGTCAAAGCGGGGTGGCTGCTCCTCCGGCTTCAGACTTTGGATATGTCGGTGAGGCAAAATTTGGCAAGGGTCAAGCAAAGCTCAAGTCGGCCAAGTCGCTCACTTCAAAGCCCTGGGTTGTCGGGCTGTCGATGTGGCTAATGCCGGCGCAAGGCCAACAACAACAGAAAAGTGGAGTGATTTAACGAGCAAGCAACGGGAACAATTGCAGAAAGGAAGTCGGCAAAGCAGTCACTAATTGATCGTGCGAATCCTGATTACGCGCATGGCTTTTGAGCTGTGAAAGTGTCAAGGCCCCTCATGCTGTCACTCCTCCATCAAATGACCATCTTGCCCTCGCAGTACAACAACCACCTCCTCGCCATCACGGAAAATGTCACCTAAGAACTCATCCGTCGGGACGAGCGCCTCGATGCTCACACGTCGACATCTGCATCTCTCTGCGCAGTGCTACTTCTGGAAGCTATGAGAAATGCTGCGCTATTGCTGCTGGCCTGGAAGCTGTTACGCACCTCCACGATGGTGGCATGCAAGCCCGTTCTCCTGAGGACTTGCTGCGCCTGAGGGCTTGAGCAAGTGACAAGGAAAACGCAAAAACATCTTCCGCAAGGCATGCATGGATGTGCAACAGGGCAGACTGGTTGCCCACATGGAGGCTTCCCTGAAACTGAACAGGCGGTTGGCAACCTACCTGTTTCACAGAGGTTGGTCTTGCCGCCCCTGCTGGATATGACTGCCAATTGCAACTTTGCCATCGAAGGTGATGTTGTTGTGTCTCAGGATTCTCTCAGGAGAATCTTGGCGCCTGAGTCTTGCGCTGGGGAAGGCCTTGGGGGGGCCAAGAAGGGACGCTGGCAAGGCCAACAAGGCTAGCTTGCAGGTTGCGTGGGTGGCGCTGGGGCATGAATGTCCGAGGAGTGTGAAACAGGAGGGTAGTGGTGGGGCATGGGCGCCTCCTCAACAACTTGTAGCTGGGAGCACATCAGTGCCTTGATCAAGGGCGAGTGAGGCGAGCGCGCAATAGAAGTGTTTGCCAGGTGAAGATGCATCACGCAGGTTCGCCTCCAGATGAGCGAGCAGCAAAAACCTTAAGACTACTTTGGGCGATTTCGAGAAGGAAGTTTTTGTTTTTGGGGGTTCACTAAATCGTTCTCCAATGCTTCAGACATGGCCCTGCAAGGTTAGAGTTGTTGGGTTTCGCTATATTTCTCCTGAGGAAAAATAAAACACCCAACGCGAAATCACCGAAGACATATCTCAGGATGTTTATCCTGAGGAGTTTAATGTGGCGTCAAACGCTGGACGCCAGACTTGGAATGTGAGAGCGGTGAGAGAAGAGGGGCCAAACCATTTCTGGACTGGATAGCGGGAGCGTTTGCATGATTGGTCGTGAGGCGGATGAGCAGTCCATGAAGACTCGCAGGTGTCCGTTGATGTGATTGAGTAAAAGCGTCCATGGAGGCGCAGCAAAGGAGCAGAGCCGAATAGACGAGCAGACATGCTGGTTGGAACAACTGGTCTTTGGAACTTGGCGTCAACAGTGCAGAAGAGCGAAGGAAAAAAGGATGCTGGCTGGTTTGGTTTGGTCAAAGGCAAAAGTAAAGATCAAAAAGGAAAGCCCAAAGGCAAAGGCAAGAAAGGAAAGGCAAAACAAAGGCTGATCCTGAAGCTGCACGCGCCTTCAAGCGTTTCATTCCTTCCAACAAATGCGTTGACGTGTTAACCAAAAGCCCAAACATACACATGATGCGCTGGCGCACATGCATGCTTTCGGTTCTCAGCACGCCTTCGTGTACAGCGCCTCCATGCCAGATTCCTCCTCCACGACGATCAAGAACTTCGCCACAGCCTGGCAAGCGCAACATTCTTGGCCAGCCTGATTTGGGCGCGCGCGCGCGCCGGGAAATAGCAATAAAGCATTTAAGCCAGTGCGCGTAGGTTTGTGTCCGATAAACTTGACTTCTCAATGTGCTCCACCAACGTGCACTCTCCTCCTACCTAGCAGTTAGTTGTCAGATTTTCATGGAGATGCTTGCAGGCACGTGGCTCAGGGCCCCTTCCCCCACAACCGGCTAGCTAGCCAGGCCACAGTGGCCTGCCAACTTGTTCTAAAGGAGAAACAAGCAGTGTAGAGCCGGAAGCCAAACGCCACCCTTTGCAGGGGTTGATACAGACCTAAGAGCATCCACTGCCTGTCCCTTGAGCTTCACCTCAAATTCAAAATCAGCTGAGCCAGCCTGGCTGCTCAGATACGCTACGATGTTGAGCCGCAAGCGGCGGGCGCCCTCTGAGGCTGCCATTGCGAAGGGCACAAGACTTGGACTCAAAGACGCTTCTCTTGCTATGCTTTGCGACGCAGGGAATTGCTACATGCTAGCCTTGCACACCCACTGGCCTGCACGCCGCTTCCCAAAACAGCACACAAGAAAACGTTTCCATTAGACTTAGACTTGAACGTGCTGGCTGTTGGCTTGCATCACGGAGCTTGCCGCAATATCTGCGTGCGCCGTTATGCTGTCTTCAGGCAAGGCAGGGCTTGGCACTTGTTTCCTGTCTGGCTGCTGCCTTCCTAGCTACGTTGGGCTAAGATGCTACACCACCTCCTCTCTGCTGCCCGGCTTTGGGAGCTCGGAACTTTACTCGCCTTGTGTTTGGGCTGAAACGGCGTTCCTCCTCTTTGTTAGGACAGTAATAGTCGGAGCTGCTCTGCAAGGCAGCCCTGCCTCCATGACAGACCAAGCAAGGAAGTGGCCCACGCTCAAACCTTCGTGGCGAACGGTCATGTGGTGGGAAGAGTCTACAGCGCCCTTTGGCGCTTTCCGTTCCAATCCACATGCGGGGCACTGCAACAAAGACACAGTTTTCTCTCAAAAGCGCGCGGAAGGGCGGCGCACATGTCACAACGTCCACCAAGGCCAAGGGCGGAAGCAATGACGGCTCCTCTGGCCAGCAACTGAGAGACCCGAGCAAAGCGGTCGGAGGCGGCCTCGTCGTCGAGGACAAGGCGCAGAGTGTGTCCGAGGGCCGGGCCCGGCGAAGGTTGGCGAGTAGGACAAGGGCCCGCAAGGGCTCAACATCGGGCGGGCGGAAAGCAAGAATGTCATCAGGGATGGGTTCGTAGGCTTCTAGGGGGGAAGCAGACAGGGCCCTGCACGCAGCGGACAACTCCCCAAGGTGGACAAGGCGACGGGTTCTGCGGGCAGAGGCCTGAACCGGTCATCACCCTCTGGAAAGGACTGGGCAACTTCGGCCAACAACGTCATCCACTCCCCAGCGTGGAAGGCGCGAAGTCAGTGGCGCCATTCGTGCTCAGGGCGCCGGTGGAGAAGCATGCGAGGCAACAGCAGCCACAGCTTCCAGGCACGCTGGGAAGAGACATGCCCTGCAAGGCGATGGAAAGTGACGCGCAGGGCCACGAACAAAAGCTGGAGGGGATCGGAACACAAAAGCCTGTACACGAAGCAGGGCCAACACGTCCACCGCATCGTCGGGAAGGGGAGCCGCTAGGTCTGGCCCGGCTGTGTTCCTGCTGACGGTGCGGCTGCGGCGGGCTCTGGTGTGTAAAACGCTGTTCGAGGCTCAACATGGCTGTCTTTGTTGCAAACTGTTGCTGGAGTGTTTCTGGCAATTTTGTGCCTTTCTTGATCCTGAATGCTGTTTCTCCTTTCCACATGTGTGGTTGTGCTTTGTTTGGCTCTTCCATTGTTTGACACTTGTCCTCAAACGTATTCGTTGCACCGTCCTTGAATCTGATGGTTGTGCTCTGCTGGGACTGGACACTGTGTTCTTGACGGTGTGAAAAGTGTCTTCCCAGTAGTCTCCTGCATATCCTATATCTGCAGGACCTTGTGGTGTAAGCGTTGTGGTCGGCGCTACATGCCAATCTGTCCTTGTTCTGTGTTGTGTATCTGTAGCTTTGTTCCTTTTGGCAATGTTGTGATTTCTGCTTGTAGGAAGAACAGGCCATTTCTGTTCTCCAGTGTGCTGTTGAAACCTTTGATGCGCTGTAGTCTTGGATTGTCATCCAGTGTAAGTTGGAAACCTTGTTCCACCAGCCTTGTAACCGAAAGAATTGGCTGTTTAACTTCACAAACGTAAAACGGCATGACAATCTGTTGTCGCTGTGGTTTGTCACGCAAACCCATCTGTACCCGAAAAGTTTGACGCGCTGGTCGGTCACTGCTCTGAGTTGCGGTCCCGTGCCACGCGCTAGTTGGTGTAGTGGGAATTGTGACGCAAACCATAGTGGGCACACATGTGTAGCCGCGCCGCTGTCAATCATGAGACTGACCCATTTGTTGTCTTCTGTTGGTTGTTGCGCTGTGCCAATCATGGCAATTGTTACTTCATGTAATCCTGAGATGGGTACTGCTGATGGATCTGCTACCTGTGGTGGTTGTGGTAGCGCCAGTTGGTGCATCTGTGACTGATCCTGGTGATACCAGTTGTTGTCGTAGTGGTCTGGTTGTACCAGTCATCTGTCTGATCATTGGTGTCGAAGGTTCCTGTGTCGCAGTTGTAGATCGCCACTCTGCGTTGTTCGCATCTGTAGCAAACATTGGTTGCGTATTTTCCTTTTGCTCCTTTTCCTCCTTGTTGGTTATTATAGTATCCTTTGCCTTTTCTTTTGTTGCTGTATCCTTTTCCTTTGCCATATCTTGACAGAGGCGGTTCTGCATAAACACCAGTTTTCACACGTTGGGCCCAAACGGGCTTAAAACAGACAAGTCTCCAGACAGGCTTGGAACACGCCAAAGCCACTCGGAAACCACTCGGGAACCACTCGGAGGGAAGTATTCTCGCGGAAGGGGGGGGTTGCAGCATAAATCTCAGTAAAGTGCGCGGACAACCTTGTTTATCCAGCAGTTTGTCCCGCACTTTGTCCGGCACTTTGTCCCGCACTCTGTCCCGCATATCAAGGGGGTGTTTATGCAGAAGGGCATTCGTCAAGCCATATCCTTGTTGTCCTTTGAATGGATTTCCTTGTCCAACCGGTTGTTGATTGTACTTGCCTTTTCCTGTAGCTGTAGTTGTTGTAGCTGTAGTTGTTCCCGTAGCCGCCATAGCCTTTGCCTTTGTTGCGCTTTCCTTTGCCCTTGTGCTTGCCTTTCTTTCCTTTACCTTTGTTGCACCATGATGTTCCAAGAAGTAAGGATTCAAATCGAGGCGCAGTTACGTCTCTGTAACAGAGTCTGCAAAGTAGCGAGGGGGTTGGGGGGGGCGGCAGCCCCCCTCTGACATTCGAGACGGCGATAGCATGCAAAAAACAGCGGGCGGTTGGCGGAGCTGGCTTCCCCTATCATGTTCGAAGAAGTGCATACATACAGACACACATACATACTGGATTGCGTACAATGTTGCATTTTACAGCAGTTTCACGCAAAATTTGATGTTCGAAGAAGTGATCAAACACGAAACAGTGATGATGCAATGAGGGGTGCAAAGATTCAAGAAAGGGCGAGATAGAATATTGGGGGGCTGGGGGGGGGCTGGCTTCCACTATGATGTGCGAAGAACTGCAGACATACAGACATACATTACACACACATGCAAACACACATCACATAAGCATAAATATCAAGAACGCTTGCCGGAGAGAACTGGTGAGGCTGAGGATGCGGGAAGCCAAAGCCAAAAACTGATGAAAGGGTGCAAAAACCAAAGCCTGGAGAGGAACTGCAGAAAGCAAAGGATGCAAAAAGCCAAAGCCACCAGAAGCCGCATAAACACCTGCCAGAGAGGAACTGGGAATGCAGATGATGTGAGAAGCCAAAAAGCCGCATAAACCAACAGGAAGCCGAAAAGCCAAGAAGGCGGGAAGCCAAAAAGCCAAGAAGCCAAAAGCGAAAAAAAAACACAAAACTTTAAAAACACCCCTCCTAAAGAGACCCCCCCAGGCCACAAAATAAGAACGAGACTGCCAAGGACACGTCGCTCTTTTGCGCTCGGCCACAGAGACACCCACGCATGCGTGAGAGAGGCTCAAAAGGTGCGTCTTGCCATGTTGGTGATTCCAGCACCTGCGCACCACGGGGCGCATCACACGAACTGGCAAAAAGAAACGCAACAAATGATGCTGACAACTGCCAGAGGTTGTGCACTCGCACACCGCGACAGCAAGTCTCAGCCGCAGACTGGCACAAGAGAAGACCACGGCGACACCGTCAAGAATTCTGACACTGACTGTGCTCGCGCGTAGCAATCAGCTCTTTTTGTCACGCGTGCCGCAAGGCACCTGGCCGTATTGCAGGGAAAAGAACAACATAGGCAAGAGCAAGAAAGAAGCTGCATTTTCCAAGCGTCTCCTTTCACCACGGCTCGTACAGCGTCTGCCCCCTCACTGCTTAGCAGAGAGACTCACATCGGCATCCTGAAGTAGGGTGAGCTGCGCCTAGCAAAGGTAATTCAATTCCTGCGTGCTTCTCTGAGTTCATCCTTCTCCAGGTATCATGCGTGAAAGGTTGCTTTGCAACTGGCTGTAAGAAAACTGCAGGGCCCGCCAATCCTCCGCCTGATGCAAATATGGTGAGCGCAATGGTGAGACAAGCGCAGGCTCCTGCTCTTCAGGTCCGGCACTTCAGATTGGCGTCCGCTCGATAGCCTCAGCTGCAGACAGAGGCGATGGGGTGTTAGGCCAGGTTGCTGTAGTGTCGCAATTGCCGGCTGCGTTCCGCAACTCAGGCCTCGTTAATGTTGGTTTGCACCTTCTCCACACGCCCCTGGAGCCGGAAACGTGTCGGTGCTTGAAATTCCACTCCAGTCTGCTTACAAGAGCGCGAGTGTCCTGACATATCAACGTGCGCGTTGCGCTTGACCACCCTTGTGTCAGGCGCAACTTCCGACGCAGGCCAGAGAAGGAGACCAAAGGTGGCCCACGTTTTGTGAAAACGTGGAGCAGCAGGGCTCGCCCAACCGAGCGGGCGGGGTGAGGCTGGGTGGGGCGGGGCGGGGCGGGGCGGGGCGGGGCGGGGTGGGGTGAGTGGGTGGGCGGGCGGGTGTGGGTGAGTGGGTGGCGGGCGGATGGGCGGGCGCGGGCGGGGTGGGGTTGGTGCGCTGAGGAGTGTGCGCGCGTGTGACTGTGTGACTGCGTAGATGTGTGACGGTGTGACTGTGCGACTGCGTGCCTCTGTATGTGTGTGTCCGTCGGGCGCCTGTGTCTGGCTGGGCGCGCGGGCGCCTCTACACTTGCGCGCGCGTGTGCGCGTGTACGTCCGTGCCGGGGAGCGGGCGGGCGGGCAGGCAAGCGTGATTGCACGTGTGTTTGCCCGTGCGCGCGTGCGTGTGCGCGTACGAGTGTGTGTGGGCGTGTTGCGGGCGTGTGCGCGCACATGCTTGCTGTGTCTGTCTCTGTGTCTGTCTCTGTGTCTGTCTCTGTCTCTGTCTCTGTCTCTGTTGTCTCTGTCTCTGTCTCTGCCTCTGTCTCTGCCTCTGCCTCTGCCTCTGCCTCTGCCTCTGCCTCTGCCTCTGCCTCTGCCTCTGCCTCTGCCTCTGCCTCTGTCTCTGTCTCTGTCTCTGTC